TGCCATGCGACTTCTCGATCTACAAATTCTTCCGGTTTATAAACCGCCTTATCTCCCGACGTTTATTCCGATAAGCGAGATTTCACTGCATCGACTCCGGGAGGCACGCGAGGAGAAGCCGCGATTCCGGTCTTCGGCCGGTGGAAAATACGGCCTTATTAAGGTGCTACATCGTGGAGTATCGCGCGACGCGCTTTAAGCACGTCGACTACGTTAATTATGCCGCTTAAGTTAGGATAAGGCCTATCCTTTGGAGCATCACGATCGAACGGATCCGCCGCGCACATACGTTTTTCACTCGATTTCTCTTCCTTGATTTACTTAATCGCGCTGCTTAATATTTGCATGTCCATTCAATTCCACGCCGTGGGACACTGTGCGTTGAGTTAGTGCGTCGCGTTTGATTGCATAAGCTGAATTAATGTATCCTGATGACGAGGGAGGGAGAGTAACTAACAAGCCGGCGAGAGAGTTTCTCGGAGAATCTCTCGCAGTAAATACGTTACGACGCGCGTCGTAGGAGATTTGGAAAACTCGAAACGCGTTCGCGAAGAAAAGAAGCACCGAGTCCCAGAGACGCCTCGACTTGTATACCTACAATTCATAACTGCATAGTGCAAAACGCGTCGCACTGAATGCTAAAGCACGAACAGCCCATATAAACAGGTATTAATATTTTATACATTTCGTTATATATCGATTGGACTTATGTTAATTTGGCACTCTTTAGCAAGCACGCAGTTTCTTCCCCGATTAATAGCGACATTAATATGTTAAGTCGACACGTTGAGAAAATTTTTTCACAATATCGCGCGAAAATTCGTAAATTTAAATTCCGCACACTCAATTACTATCATTCTCTTGGTATTTAAAAAAGATTTCTCTCCTTAGTATCGCTCATGCTAATTAGCATAAAGATTAAAATCTGCTTGGTGCTACGAAATTCTACAGTTTAACGACTTTAAGTTTGTAGAATTTATAGACTGAGTAACATGATATTAAAACGACAATAAATTTAGCTTCAACGTACGAATTTTTATCTGAAATATAATTTTTAATGCACAGTCGATGGTAATATATTTGTTTTATTCTTTTTTTAAATACCTCTAAAGATACGCGTCGCGGATGGATGGTTCATCGACACCGTGTAATTTATTCCGGGTCGCTGCCAGTTGACATCCGCCTCCTTTTCTCCGTTTAACAATACGGTCGAGATGATTTTGCAAATACCGCAGAAACTGCTCGACTCGACCGATACGTCTAGGGTTGCCTCGAGACCTTTGACGCACAGGCGGCGCCGCGGTACAATCTAAAATTTACAATTCGTGTCTCTCCGATCGCCCGCCTACGTTATTCACGCATGAGCAGTCCCTTCGCATAACTAAGGATAAGAGAGTAAATAAAACGTCGCGCCGGTGGAAGATACATATATTTAGCCTGCAGAACAAGATCTACTAAGCTTATTAAAGGAAAACTCCGACTTAACATGTTAATATCGTTGATCGGAGAAGAAAGTATATGCATGCTAAAAACACACTGAGAATAAATATCTTATTGACGTAACTAAGTTTTACAAAATATCGATTCATCACTTATTTATGCGAGCCGCCATCCTCTGCGATTAGCATTCAATGCGGTGCATTTTGCACTTTGCAGTCCCTTTCTGCCTCTTCCCTTCCTCTCTGACAAGCTCTTGACGTCGATTTGCGTATTTCTAAACTCTCGCCGACTACAATCTCGCGAAATCTCGGCGATTCAGTTAACGATTAATCATGAGCATCCGCAAACGCGACATTTACGGGCCATTATCGATAGTCTCCCATGCACATCGAATTAATTTCCCTCGGTCGGCGAGGAAAACCGCCGCGGCCTCTCCGTTTACTCTCGCAATATCTCGATATCGAAATCGCGAATACGTAATGCTGTTTCTCGTCGTTAATGCTACTTACTGTGATGTATACGACGCAATTTTCTTCTAAATCTCTCCTAGGAGGTAATTTGCATTATGAAAGCAAAAAAAATTAAAGAATCAAGAGATAAATTACTATAACAATAATTGCAAGCAATTATGTTACTAAGACGGAAGTCGTATTTTCAAGATATTTCAAATCCCGGGAAGCAACTTAATACGCAAATACCTAAATGAAATCGCGTGTCCAATAAAGCTGTAAAGCTTTCTGCACGTTTGCCTATAGGACATGATCGAACTGGTGCATAAGTGCCAGCATGCGCAATTGCGGGATTCGAAATGGCCGAGTCACCGCGACTGATAGCAATAATCTGACAGGTGCATCAATGTCATTTATGTCGCCGTTGAGGCGATCCGCGTTAAACGGAGCGTATCATCCGCAGACGAAAGAAAGAGAGGTGGCGTCCGATCGCAGGAAGTTAATTAACATCGCGGACGGCTCTCGGGGAGAGCCTCCCGGTTGAAGTCGCAAGCTAGATCTAAACAAACCAGAAACTCTCGTGAACGAGGCGCACCGTGTCTCGCGGAATATCTGTCTGCGTATCTGACGCCGCTTAAATGACGTGTGCTTAGACTAACGCTCATTGCTTACGAATAGTCGAACAGTCAATCCTCATCACCGACGAAATTCATCATCCCTCCCCGCGTTTTCCCCGCTGGGAGAAAATAACGTTTGACTCTCCTAATTGCGCGAAAGTCCCAAGTTTCCGGATGAACGAGGTATCGATCGAAACGCGAGTTACTCGAATTACGAACGATTAATGTACTTTCCGCGGAATTTAATGCCCGCAATTATCCAAATCATGTAAGTTAAAAAATTAAATTAATAAATATATATACGAGAAAAAGGATATTTCTCATTTCCTTTAATGTTACATGTATGGTTTTTCGCGTCAAGTAATTAGAAGCAAGATTTACGCATCTCGCGGTGCTATTGCCGGGTTAAATTACGATACGCGGACCGGTCGTTTTAACGTCTGAGCCGATGCTCCGATCCATCGAGATCGCACGATCCTTCCCCCGTAACGGGATTTCGAGCGGCTGTAAGATTACGCGACCGGTAGAAACCTCTCGGTTATCAGCGCGATGACGAGAGAAGCGCGTCTCGGATTCGCGAGATCCGGCCGACGACGCTGAATGATTGCGATTTATGGGATTCCTCGGTGTGGTAGCTGGCGATCTGGCGGACCGATCTCGAGCGTTCCCGCGCGGAATTTGCTGGCCGAGTCTCAATCGTAAAGGTGCCGCCACAACGAGGCGTATCCGGATTTTACCCGGCGATCCGGCTTCCATACGGGATCGTTCTTCGCATCTTTCGCCTCGCTCGTCAGGAAACGTTAAATTCTGACGTCTTCGTATCGAAGTTTTCTCGGCGCGGCGCGGCTGCTCGTCGCCACCCTTAACTCGCTTGTAAACGTCTTCATAACGTTTTAATGCGACCGGACTATTACATTGCGCTATGCTCGAGTTATCTTGGCGCGATGAACGCCTTGCTCTTGGTGCTCCTCGTCGTCTTTGTATGTTGAATCTAATTTACACGGTAGCGTCGCTTTTTACCTCGCCTTTGCGGCCGGCACTAAGCTGTTAAGTTGTTCGACATTTCGTTTAATCGCCTCCATCTGTCTATGCCACGCATACTCAATTCGATCTTCAATCAGCAATCGCTTAGGTAGCTTCACTCGGGATGTTAAAAATAAATTTATGGAATCAGCAATGCGCAGTGCTATAATCATTAGGGATGCTCGTCACCCGTGTCCATTTTCTATGGTCTTTGTAAAATATAAAGATATATGTATAAATGCAATTATATAAGATATAGATATGTAAGCGTTAAAAAAAAAACAATCTTCATGTAAGCTTATTTTCACACGCTTCAACTCGTGCGGTTTGAGGGTTTGTGCGACTCAAGAAGGACGAACGAAGATCGATGCATCGTTTGACGATCCGTGCGAAACAATGTGCGCTCGTAAACGCGATCGTAAATTAAAATTAGCCTAAACGGATTACGCGAACGGTGTTCCGCAATAAAAGTGTACGTCAGTCCCGTAAATCTCAAGGTAGCGTTCTAAACTGCCTGTCAAGGCGGATAAGTGCAGCGTACTTAGAATGGGCCGGGATAAATATCGCGAGTTTGCGTTAGAGTAAGATGAAGAGCCGCGCATTACTCTTCGCATTCGTGTCTCGGTTGAACGCAGGCAGGCACTACGGGACTACCTTCGTATATCGATATACGTAAGGCCCTCCTCAGGGCCCACAATAATACTGTGATTAATCTGTCAGATGCGTATAAGTTGCATCTTTTTACTGCCGTTTTAAATTAATAAAATGATAAATTCATTGTAATTCAAATGCAATCAATTACGATAGTCATAAGAGAGAGAGAATGATCAGATCTTTGCTATTTTATGGAAGTATTTTGGTGATGCTTTCTTAAATTAGAAGTTAAAATTGGAAGTTAGAATCCAACTGCTTTTCACAATAGAAAAGAAAAGAATAATTTCAATAAAGACTAATTTAGACAATGTTTTTCCTATGCTAAATATATAGCTCTAGAAGCTATATAATTCGTAACGCAAACTTCGCAGCTATTAAAATTAGTGAGCCATAAATTGTTTGTAGACTTAACGATGCAATTTTCTTTTAATAAGAAATAGACTTATTAATATTCACGCGCGGTTTATTTTATTCTATTTTCGAAAAATATGAGCAATTATTAGTTCTCGTAAAATTTTCGTGTCTTAATAAATTATTTTAATTTTATTTTAATAACGAAAAGTTTTTGTAATAATTATTTCTAAACAATTCCTAATATAATCCTAACATAATCCATTTTTTAATTGATAATTGTGTATTATTTGTTGTTTTAATCTAATTTCCAAAGCTTCTTCGAGCGGAAGAAACACATTCGGGAATAAATATCTTCCGCAAAGCACGCGATGATAAAACGGCCTTACTTCGTATCGCGGCAAAAGAGTCAGGGCCCGATAATAGAGTCTAAAAAAAGCATGCACATACCGATAGCGGCACTTACCTTTGCAGCCGTCTGCCGCCAGACCGTAGTGGTCCACGTCGCAGCGATCGCACCGGAAGCCGACAACGCTCGGCGCGCACCTGCACACACCGCTTACGGGATCGCAGAACCCGTCGACGGCACCCACGTCGCAGTCGCATTCCCGGCAACCCACGGTCACGTTCCCGTAGCCCTCGATGCAGGAGGAACAGTCACGACCGGTGAACAAAGGCCCGCAGGGACACTGACCGGTCGTCTCATCGCACTGAAATGAATTGCTACCGAGGGGAGAGCAGTCGCATGCTGAAACACAAAGTATCTACGCTCTTAATGTATTCTATTAACGTAATTAATGATATGTCCTTTTAATCCAATCGCTATGTTAACATTTTGCTGAAGGAAAGATCTCTGATTGTCGTTATTTTCGGTATAAACCTGTCATTTCGAAAAGTAAATTTCAATACATAAATTTTCGTACGGAAGAAATAAAAAATTGATTTTAATCATCAAGAAATTGTTTTAAAAATATTGTTTTTAAAATATTGAGATTCCTGGAAGATTGTAATATTTTTCTAAAATATCGAGATCGGAGATGATTATTCTCAATTACTGAGCAATTTCAGAGTTTGTAGAGATTGCTGCAAAGTATACATGAAAGTATGGAAGTGCTTACGTATGCAATTCTGTTCCAGAGGATTTCCGTAGTGCCCTTCCTTGCATTTCTCACACTTCCAGCCCTCGGTGTTGCCGTGGCACTCCAAACAGCGACCTGTCTCCTGCTCGCAGGCACCACCGTTGCAAGGACACCGTTCGCAAGCCCCGCCAGGTATCAGAGGATTACCATAGAATCCTATATCACAGCTTTTCACCCAAATCGAAATTAAAACCTTTCCGCTTAATAATAATATTTTAGTAATAATTATTACTCGATTGTATGCAGCTTCAAAAAAGGCCATGATGACTAATAATTACAGCCATTAACGGACACTATTTTTTATACAGTAAATATCTACTCGTTTTACAATATAAAATTCGATATAAATTTCGATTCATAAAATTATATAATTTTCTAGAAGATTATAAAATTGCTAAACGCGAAAGACAATTGTAACAGATTGATTCGCTTTGAATATTGCATTTGAAGTGTTTGCATATTTGTTATTTGTATTTACGACGTAATCACTACATTTTATAAAATATCTTAATTTAAAATATGTGCAATTTATTTTCCTTACGCTTCGCAACGGTCTCCGGTGTATCCCTCGGGACATTGCGTGCACACGTGTCCGCTATTCATATCAACGGGATTGTCGAGCTGACAACTCGGACTGAAATTGTTGGACTCGACGGAAAGCGGACACGCGCATTTCTTGCAATCCTCGCTGGTGCCTCTCGTCGCGATACCGTAATATCCCATAGCGCAACGATCGCACTTCGGGCCTATCGTATGATGTTCACACGTCTGCAAATTATGGAAACGACACGCGACACGAATTAAAATTAAATATTAACCTATGAAAATCATGAATACAAATCAAATTTACGGATAAATGCTTTTAACTTATCTAATTAACGGCTAAAATTATTTAATTACTGAAGAAATTAAACACGGCAAAAAAAATGATCTGAATTAAAATTACGATGATGCAAAAAATGAAATTTATGTAAGAACAAATAAAGAATTAACTAAACGACCGTGCGAATCAGTTATCCCTGTAGAAATGAAATTTTCATACAGAAAGCTAGCTGGTACCGCTATCTGTACGGCACGAGAACACAACGAACAGTAAGGGATTTTCGTTGGACGCCGAGTCGATAAAATAGCTCGCGCGATCTATAGATCCCGTGATCTATAGCTGCAAATCCAGGATCTACATCGCGAGCTCGGATTACTTTAAGCATGCTGCTATACCGGCTGTAGATCGGACTGAGCACCAGCCGCAGTGAGATATTGTAGGTGCTCTAGAATAATCTGCGTTAAAGCCAGTTGCACACTGGAGAACTTCCTTACACATTTTATTACACTTTTTATTGTATCATATTTTCTTACTAATCGTAAGAAAATATGATACAATAAAAAATTTCGTTCAATGAATTTGTTGTTTTAAAATAAATTATTGGTGATATCAGAAAATAATTTATATTAACTGTCAATTTAATTAATTCATTATATTATTAATCCTTTACCCGGAACACCCCTTTCAGGTCTCTTTTTGTTGCGCTTTTCAGTTTAAGACCTTGTGCTTTTCGCTATGTGTTAGCGATACTATTAACCCTCTATCCGGAACACCCCTGGATATCCCATGGAATACCCCGTCATAATGACCGCTATTCCAGAAAAACACGAGTTTCATTCATTTTTCCACTGGTGCAAATGTGAACCTTAGCAATTATAATAACCAATATTCCGGATAGAGGATTAACTTATTATAGTAACTTAATGTTATATTATTTTTAATATTTTTTAATTTTGAACAATAAGATAAAAAATAGTGAACCTTTTTCTATTATTTTCGTTTGTTGTACTTTTGAATTTCCATTTTATATATTAAAATATAAATTAATCAGGACTTACCCCACATTCGCCCAGCACGAGATCGCAGGAACCTGCGTGACCGTTACAGTCGCACTTGACGCATACGTGATGATCCTGATGGTTGGAACCATTCGTAGGCATCTTTACGTATCCCCAGGCACATTCCTCGCAGGACATCCCAGTGTATCCCTCGGGACATTCGCACATTTCGACCAGATTGTCGGTTTCGCCGTCCGACGATAATTCGCCCACCGTCAATACGGCAGACTGGAGACTGCGAAGAAAACAGAAAGATCGCTTCGTTACTGCAAAGCTAAAAAAAAAAAATCCACGCGCGAACTGTACGTCCGGTAAAGAGTCGGAGATTTTTTATGCACCTTCCTTCGATTTGCTCCGAATGATATCGCGTCCGTATCATTAGGTACTTGAGATCGGCGAGAACGCGCATCATCTGCGTCCTCGTCACGGGATCGCCGCGAAATTCGGTTCTCCTCAATCTGGTCGGGATGTCCTGCACGTCGCCTCGCACGTGAAACCAGCCTTGCTCTCGTAAAGGTACCGCTATCTCAGCCACTTGACCATTGTACTGCTCCTCGCCGTACGCTATGCGCATCCCATTGTTACCCTTCGCGAGCGAGAGAATATTGCACGTTATTATATAATACTACTTTCATCCTAGGGCTTGGATTAAATTGACGCAAAAAAAAGACGAGAAAGAGAGAAAGAGAGAGAGAGAGAGAGGACATTTACAACTAGGATAACGTTGGGCTCCGTAGTCGGTTTACCACTGGTGTCGCCTCGCATGACAACCCACGAGACGGAGTACGTGAGATTGCTGCCGTACGAGGACACGCGATTCCCCGTATAAATCTGTGGCGCCAGCCAGAAAGGGCTGTCATACTCGACGTCAAACGCCGCCACGGTCAGCCATTCGTTGTCCGTGTCCAAAATGGGTACGACTGCCCGAGACGCGTTCATGTCGGTCACCAACCAGTTCTCCAGTGTGGAAATCTGAGGGAAAAAAAGCGAGTCGTATACAATCCATCTTTCGTTATTTTGTCACAGCCTGTTGTTGCTACTTCAATTTTTATTTTTAAAGACCAATTATTTCTCGAGAAATTGTATTTAATAAAAAAAAAGAGCTAATTGACTTTTTAAAGAGTCATTTGATTGTATTATATTTAATTTATTATAATTTATAATATTATTCGTACGCTTAGTAAAAGATAATTTTGTTATCTTAATAAGAAAAGCTTCGATAAATTATGTGCCAGGAAATCTTATGCATATTGTCTGATCTATTATTATAGCGTGGTTCGCGCTTTTTGCTCGTTCCGGTTCGTCGCCATTACCGTCACCGTAATTGCGGGTTTGCAATTTATCGGAACTGCGGCGGGACTGATAAACTATAATTGTCTCCTTATCCAATTTATCGGGCGCGACGAGGACGTCGACCAAGATTAACGTTCTAAGCCGAACGACATGCCCGCAGGAGAACGTCAACTAATCGTTTTGAATTTTACACCTGTCAACCCGATCTTGACACTTGACAAACGAGGTTTTCCGTTGTAAGTAAGGATAAATCTTATCTCACATACGTATATATAGAGTTACTCAAGATTAACGGCTCCTATTAACAAAATGTCTCAATAAGTAACGAATTCCTGTACGCTTTCCAACTGAGAAAATTTTCTTTTATTCTCCATAGACATCCAATTCTTATAATATAATTACTTCAGTTTCTAATTAATTTTATTAGGTAATTAGATTGTGTAATAATAAAATTATATGCGAAGAAAAAAGCGCGAAATACCTAAATCATATAAAACTACAGTAAAAGGTTTCTCATTCTAATGAAGTTGTTAAATGTTAGGAAAGTTTTTATCTGTTATCTATTACAAAAAAAAGACTTACCATGTTGTATTGTAATCTCGCGGTGGTGCAGCGATTTGCTACGTCAAAGCAGTAGCAGGGTATGCACCCGTCGAGATTATCCTTCGTGAGCGCAAAGTATCCAAGTTTGCACCGATCGCAGAAATCCCCGGCGACGTTCGCTTTGCACAAACAGTCGCCCTCGCAATCGTGGGACGGCAGAATCCCACGGGAATCGCAGGGGCACGGCATGCAGTCGGGAAACTGCCGATAACCGGCGGCGCATTGATCACACTTGTATCCCGAATATCCCAGCTTGCACTCGCAGGCACCTGCTACCTGGAAAACGATCGGTATTTAGACCGATTAGGATCTATCGTGAGAACGGCCTCGTTTAGAAATCACCGGGAAGGATAATCGATACGCGCGTAAATCATGATCGCGCGAGCGATTACCGCACGCGGCCGATGTTCCTTCAAGATTTGGTGAAAATAACCGCGGTAAATTTACGTTAGACGGGAATAATTTTTAATGCTCCAAGGAACGTTAATCGAAATAAATTTTTTATGCCTTTTTTCATTCCTCGGAAAAGTTTAATAAAAAAGAAAATACGATTTTCAGTACATATCACTCTTAAACAAATTGATAAACAATTTTGAATAGGATTGCTTATAAACCGTCGCACATCAGTGTAACTGAGACACTGAAGATAATTAATTCTTCAAAAATAATGCCATAATAATTATAACAAAAATTCTGTTACGACAAATATTTAACGCTTAATTGTGTTAAATAAAAAATTTAGATACTATAGATTTTTACAGATTGAGATATTTTTCAGTTGTCGTTATGTTGGTCAAACATTTATGAAAATAAATGTTTATATGGATTGTGTAACGTCTTTGTACATTCTTTCCTCTCTCCTATTTGTTTTTATATTTCTCACGTATGTCCTTTTCGTCCTCGTATCCCTTATTGGGGATAGCAGTATATACCTAAGTCCTAAGCAATGTAATGCGAGCACCACAGTCGATGAACTTGCGTGTGTTCGATCACAGGAATGATTCGAGTGTGCGTCTACGTAGCGTTCGTCGCCGCCGTTGTCACGGCTAATCCAGGTAAATCGCAAGGAAAAACCAATATCTCATTTTCTTATCGTTTGAGTCAGAATATTTTAACTGTTCTTAGAATATAACAATTCAATCTAAAATTAGCCAGACATCACACCGACGGATTAAAAACCGTACATAATTTATAATCTATGTGATTGAGGCGAAATCAATTCCACTCGTTTAAAACGTGTTCTTTTTTTAACAAACTTTTTCATTTTTCTTTTTCGTGAAGTTAACCAAACATGCCCGGGCCCATTGGCGTATTACAAGGACCTCGGTTGCAAGCCGATGTACACAAAACTGCCGAGAGGCCAGTACGGAGAGTGCCCGAGAAGATACAACTGTGAACATATGAGAACGAGATCTAAGAATCGGTGTTACATCAACGGTCACAGTTACTTGCCCGGCCAAACTCTTCAACAGGAAGACTCGAACGTTTGTGACAATTGCGTTTGCAAACGTGGATATGGTTCTGGTAGCATGTAAGTATAATTTCGGTATAAATGAATTGAATTATTTTAAAGTAAGTCAGATATATTAATTTTCATAATTAACAGAGTGGGTGAGTGTGTGTGCGTGTATATATACACACATATAATGCTACTCTCCAAAAGATACATGTAAAAGGTTTGCCGCTCTTCCGCTGATTAGTTTTTCTATTTTACTTATTTCATAAATCGTAACTGCCAACGCAGAAATTATGTATTTTGACAGCTGTCAAGCAAGGCTATTTCGTGTTATATGGACAAATTATATCAAGCTAAAACAGATGCTAAAGAAAATAACTAAAGCACTACGCAGTATGATTTTAATTTACTTTTTATATGTCATAAAGAGCTCAAGTTTGCAATTAGGGAAACAATTTACACTTTGCATAAACGATAAGTAGATTAATTCTTTATATCAATTGCTTCATCTAAATATTTTATAAGTATTAATATGCATATACACATAGTGTAAGCGAATAAACGGTGCGCGCTTTGCGATATTTTAATATATATAAAAGACTGCGTAAATTATTTATTTAACGTGATTCTGCTTCTCGGCAAAACCAATGATAATCCGGTCACAAAAAAGGAGAATAACCGACGCTACATTGACAAATTATTGACATATTATTTTTGTACTACATAAAATATAATTTCAAGTAATCAAAATGTGAAAATATGCTGCCAACTCCCCTTACTATAATGTATGATTTTATCCGAAGAATCTTTCATTTTCTACGAATAGCGCAGCATTGATGAATATTTAATACAATTGTTCGGTATATGTGTGTGTATGAGTACATTTTCTTTCGATATTATAAAAGATTCATATACGGCGTCACAATATTCAAATTATATCAAGGTTTCTCGTACTGGTGTAGTTTTCTGTTGACTATTCTGTCATGGTAACACGTGACAGATACGTGAACATATTGTAAGGAATTTGTTCGCATCAGCGTGAAATCTTCAGCGCGATTTGTCTTTATTTCTAATAGCTACTTAACGGATATCTGACAATCAAATAGTTGCACGTCACTTTATTTACTTCGGGAAATAATCTAAATTTCTCGTCTATGAATAATCGCGATTCACAAAGAAAAATCTAAAAAATGTATTTTGATAAAAAGTATTTATCATACAAAAAGATCAAATAATCATTGTATCGATTATAATTAAATTGAATAGATAATAAAAATCATTAAATTCTTTTAATTATAAAAAAACATCAACTTTTTTTTCATATAGTGCTGCATTTGAATGCTTCAATGTTAAGTGTGACATCAAGGAGATAAGAACTCATGATAATTGTTATATACGAAAAGACCCAGCAAAATGTTGCGAAGAAGTAGAAATTTGTCGTAAGTACATTCTTAATTGAAAATTATGCGTACATATATATTATTCACGTATATTCACGATACAATAGTCAATTATGTGTAAAAATTAAAAGTAAATTTTAAAAAGTATATAATTAACTTATATCAATTTATATTTTGTTATTATTAAAACTTGATTTAAACAGTTATTCAACAAGTCACACATATGCAATCACTTAGTATATTTAAATAAAACTGTGGCAAATATATTCGTAGAAACATGTGTATATAACCAACGCTTCTTATATGCTTTAGCTAAAAAATTAAGCGACAGAGCTATTTGTAATGTAAACGGTAATGTATATTTTGATGGACATATTTTCAACGTGGAGAACCACCCCGAATTAGATTGTGTCTGTCAGCCAGGTTACGAAGGTAATGATAATGTTAATTATTATCACGTAATAAATGTACATTGCTTTTTCAACTTATATGACTCTCAAAGTTCTCGATATACATAATATCTATTTCGATTACAACTGGCAATTTCATATTTTTAGGTAAAAACGTTCTGCCTTTTTGTGCCAGGAATAACCATTCCACCTGTTTTCATCCTGCATTCAGTCATACAAATTATTTTGGTCAAAAGTGTGCTCCAGTTTTTAATAGTGATGACACTAGATGTATCATATTTATGAATTGCCGTAAGTTTGCGAAAGCAATTTTGTGTATAATAATTCGTCTCCATGTCAATCCTGTAAACGTTTTTTGTTGAATTTTTTAGAGCTCCCTGATGATGATATCATTCCTAATCCTAACTACGAGATAAACATGAACGGTAGGTTTCATATTTACTTTTAAATGTAAATTTAATTTTGTAATATCATATTCGCGAGGTATTACGTCGATATGATAAAAAAAAGATTCCTATATCCGTTAAGAAATAACCACGTGGTATTGAAATGATGACGTTCGACTTGTTACATATCAATTTTTAACGGTAAAAAACCTTCTAGAACGTGAAAATTAGTTCCTTTATCAATCTATATTACATTGTTTCTACAGGATTGTATAGAATACTGTTTGTATTTCTCATATGTGCTTCTCGATATGCAATTATGTTCAATTTCTCAATCATGTTAATATGTTGAAAATTAGAGTATTTCATAATACATGTTGAATAAGCAATAAAATTAATATTGGTAATTTAGCACATGTAGCTGAAGAAACTGACTTCTTATCTTGTTAAATTGTTTAAATTTATTCATACGTTTTTTCCTTTAATTTTACGGATCGCGATATTTAAAGAAAAAAAATGTATTACTTTGCGACAAATTGATTCGGTAATCATATGAATATAGTGTGAGGTATATAAAATGAGGTATTGACACGTATTCAAACGGTCAAGCGATACTAATTACACAACCGTGAATCGCGTCAAATAGAAGATAATTGCGACAAATATTGCATGTGGATAACAAGCACTGCGTAAAATCAATTTCTGTAGCACGTTAATATTACGACCCTATAAAATGACAACTAATTACAAAATATAACTCACTTTATTGCGCCTAATTTACTAAATACAGAAAAATGTTTTAGTATAGAACAACAGACGCGCTATTAATATTGTCATATTCCATGAAAATATGATGATTCATTTGGTATTCTTCTTTTTCAGCTACATGCAAATACGGTACTCTAAGACTGCGATATGGCGACAGACTGAGGACAAAACAATGTATGGATTGCATATGCGATACACCACCTGTGTTGAGTTGTAATTTTGCATCAAAGAATTGTGATTATCAAATTCCTACTTATGTCCACAACGAGACTAATTATAATGAAGATAGAATATGATCGAATATGATAAGTAAATACTTTTAATTGCATATATTGTAATATGTATATAATTACTTGATTCAAAACCATATTAGACTTTACTTGCAAATTTGTAAAGACATTCAGTTATAATAAAAATTAATATTTGCAAGAATAGAAATCACTTATTAATTATTAATATCCAATTAATGTCATTCATAATAAGATACTTTTTACCAAAAAAAGCTGTACAGCGATACAAATTCTAAGTTCTAAATGTATCGTCTTCGTATCATTAAAAACGTATGAGATTACTAACGTATAAAAATTGTCCAGCTATCAATTTATTAAATTTTCGTCGTGAATTAACTGACAACGCTTTTTGCGCGAGATTTATAGGCAACAATATGCAAAAGAATAATCTATTGATAAGATCTCGTAAAATATTGACTTCTTATTGCGAGTTCACGAAATTTCGAAAAACGACTTTCATTACGTATCACTCTTAAACTAATTAAATTAATAAACAATTCTGAATAGGATTGCTTACAAACCGTCGCACGTCAGTGTAATTGAGACACTGAAGATAATTAATTCTTCATAAATGCCATAATAATTATAACAAAAATTCTGTTGCGACAAATATTTAACGCTCAATTGTACGAAATAAAATGTTTAGACTATGCTATAGATTTTTACAGATAGAAATATCTCTCAGCTGTCGTTATGTTGGTCAAACATTTATAAAAATAAATGTTTATGTGGATTGTATGACGTCTTTCTACATTCTTTAGTTATAACTCCTCTCTCCTATTTGTTTTTATACTTCGCACATATGTCCTTCTGGCCCTCGCATCTTTTATTGGGGGTAACAATATATAAGTAATGTAACACGAACACCACAGTCGATGAACTTGTGCGCGATTGATCACAAGAATGATTCGAGTGTGCGTCTACGTAGCGTTCGTCGCCGCCGTTGTCACGGCTAGTCCAGGTAAATCGCAAGGGAAAACCAATATCTCATTTTTTTGTCGTTTGAGTCATAATATTTTAACTGTTCTTAAAATATAACAATTCAATCTAAAATTAACCAGATATCACACTGATGAATTTAAAACCGTATATAATTTATAATCTATGTGATTAAGGCGGAATCAATTCTAGTCGTTTAAAACATGTCCTTTTTTTACAAACTTTTTTTAATTTTTTCTTTTTCATGAAGTTAACCAAACATGCCCGGGTCCATTGGCGTATTACAATGACCTCGGTTGCAAGCCGGTGTACGCAAAACTGCCGAGTGGCCAGTACGCACAGTGCCCGAAAAGATACAATTGTGAACATATGAGAAGGAGATCTAAGAATCAGTGTTACATCAACGGTCACAGTTACTTGCCCGGCCAAACCCTTCGACAGGAAGATTCGAACGTTTGCGACAATTGCGTTTGCAAACGTGGACGGAATCATGATAGCATGTAAGCATGACTATCATGATGGTATAAATAAATTGAATAATTTTAACGTAAATTAGATATATTAATTTTCATAATTAACAGAGTATATATATAATAGCTGCTCTCCAAAAGATACATTTAAGATACATTTGTTTGCCGCTCTTTTGTTGATTGGTTCTTTTGTTGTACTTATTTTATATATATATTGTAACTGCACCAGCATGGAGATCGTGTATTTTGACAGCTGTGAAGCAAGGCTATCCCGTGTTATGGACAAATTTTTATGGACAAGCTAAAATAGATGTTAAAAAAAATATATAAAATGCATATAAAAAAATCAAATGTTCGTTGTATCAATTAGAGTTAAATCGAATAGATAATATAAAAATCATTATTTTCTTTTAATTATAAAAAACTGCAACTTTTTTTTCATCTAGTGCTGCGTTTGAATGCACCACCGTTCAGTGTAACATGAAAGAGATTAGAGCTAATAATAATTGTTATACACGAAGAAACCCAACAAAATGTTGCGAAGAAGTAGAAATTTGTCGTAAGTACATTCTTAATTGAAAATTATACGTATATATTATTCATGTATATTTCATGACACTTCAATCAATCACTAACAATCAATTATTATGTACAAAAATCAAAAATAAATTTTAAAAATTATATAATTAATTTATACTTAATTTATACCAACTTATATTTTGTTATTATTAAAATTTGATTTAAACAGTTGTTCAACAAGTCGCGCATATGCAACCGCTTAGTATATTTAAATAAACGGTGGCAGGTATATTCGTAGAAACAAGTGTATATAACCAATGCTCCTTATATGTTTTAGCTAAAAAACTAAGCGACAGAGCTATTTGTAATGTAAACGGTGATATATATTTTGATGGTCATATTTTCGACGTAGAGAACCACCCCGAGTTAGATTGTGTCTGCCAGCCAGGTTACGAAGGTAATGATAATGTTAATTATTATCACGTAATAAATGTATATTGCTTTTTTAACTTATATGACTCTCAAAGTTCTCGATATATGTAATACCTATTTCGATTACAACTGGCAATTTCATATTTTTAGGTAAAAATGTCCTGCCTTTTTGTGCCAGGAATAACCATTCCACCTGTTTTCATCCTGCATTCAGTCATATAAATTATTTTGGTAAAAAATGTGCTCCAGTTTTCTATAGTGATGACACTAATTGTATCATATTTATGAATTGCCGTAAGTTTGCGAAAACGATTTTATGTGCAACGATTGTATACTGCATACATTTCGTCGCCGTGTCAATCCTGTAAATGTTTTTATTGAATTTTTCAGAGCTCCCTGATGATGATGTTATTTCTAGTGCTAACGACTATATTAAGCGGTTAAATATAAGTGGTAAGATTTATATTTATTTTTAAATGTAAATTTAATTTTGTAGTATCATATTCGCGAGGTATTACGTCGATATAATAAAAAAAAAAGATTCCTATATTCATTAAGAAATATCCGCATAGTATTGAAATGATACGTTCGACTTGTTACATATAAATTTTTAACAATAACCCTTCTAGAACGTGAGCATTAGTTCCTTTATCAATCTATATTATATCTACATTGTTTCTACAGAATTGTATAGAATTCTAGCTGTTTGTACTTCTCATATGTGCTTCTCGATATGCAATTATATTCAATTTCTCAATCATATTAATATGTTGAAAATTAGAGTATTTTATAATACATGTTGAATGAACAAAATTAATGCTAATAATTTAACACATGTGATTGGAAAAATTAACTTCTTATCTTGTTAAATTGTTTGAATTTATTCGTACATTTTTCTCTTTAATTTTACGGATCGCGATGTTTAAAGAAAAAAATTTATTACTTCGCAAAAAATTAATTCGGTAATCATATGAATATAGTGTGAGGTATGTAAAATGATGTATTAGCACGCACTTGAACGGTCAAGCAATACTAATTACATAATCGTACTGTGAATCGCGTCAAGTAGGTAGTAATTTCGACAAACATTGCATGTGGATAACGAGCACTGTGTAAAATTAATTTCTGTAGCATGTTAATATTATAATTTCAAAAAATGATAACTAATTGCAAAATATAACTTAATTCATTGCACCCAATTTACTAAATACAAAAAAGTATTTTCGTATAGAACAACTGACACGCTATTAATATTGTCATATTCTATAAAAATATGATGATTCATTTGGTATTCTTCTTTTTCAGATACGTGCAAATACGGTACTCTGAAATTGCAATATGGCGATAGACTGAAAACAACGCATTGTATGGAATGCATATGCGATACACCACCTGTGTTGAGTTGCGATCTTGCAACAGACGAGTGTGATTATAAACCTCGTTTTGTTAACTCTTATGAGTATAATTATGATAAGGATGACTTTTAGGGATAAAGTTTATAATCGATTAGTAATTACTTTTATTGCATATATTGTAATATTCATATATGGTGTGGTTATTACTTGATTCAAAACGATATTAGACTTTATTTGCATATTTGTAAATATATTCAATTATAATAAAAATTAATATTTGCAAGAATAGAATTAATTTATTAATTATTAATATTCATTCATAATAAGATACTTATGTCATTCATAATAAGATACTTTTTACTAAAAAAGCCATGCAGCGATACAAATTCTAAGTTGTAACTCTAAATGCATCGTCTTCGTATCATTAAAAATGTACGAAATTACGTCCAATGAAAGTTGGCAATAAGTACGTATCAACAAAAAAATATCGAGATAATTTTCGAAAAATTTCGACAAAACGCGGGACATTCTAACAGAGACTCAAAGCAATGATTCAAGACGAAAGGGATAATTTGTTTCAACACAATAATAGTTACGTAATTTAAACCGAGACACGACCGTGTCTCATGTTCAGAGTTCACGAAGAAATTTTAATTCGCATAAATCTATTTTTTAATATATAACTATATACAGCATTAAATATCCTAGAATATTACGATTAAATTATAAAAAGTTCTTACCTTTCCGATACGCGTGTAGGAATCGTCGGGAGTACAGGAGCCTGTACTGCCACGTATGTTGCAGTCGCAGGGCAGGCAAGGTTCTGACGCATCAGGTGCAACGCCGTTTGGCCTGTAGTAGCCGACCTCACATTTTTCGCAGTTAATACCGGCCGTGTGTTCCTACAATTTTGCAAATATTATCGTCGCGAATGATATCTCGCGAAATGTACTCGTAACACCTTATTTCTTATCAAATTTTATTTGTATCCTATTACTTATCATTCTCATTATTAAGTATCAATATCAATTTATAAATATTTATGTCAATTTTATGTTACGATATTATTATGTTTATTAACCGCACAAGTAAAAGTTATCTAATTACAATATTAAGTAAAAATTAATTTCTAAAAAGAAATGAAGAATTAGATGTGTCGTCTGGATAATTTTCTATTAGATAATTTTCAAGGCGCACATTGCGCGTGTAAGTGTACGGAAAATACTTAACTTTAAAAGATCAACATCAGGATTGCTACTCAATTATTAATCCGTAATTAATTCTCGTAACTAGAGAGTGACTCATATACCAGGGAGCGTGCGTTTACACACTTCAGAACGCATTTAATTGCGATTAAGATGGATAAACCCCAATTAAACGCGTTCGCGTTACGTTTAACTTCTTATCATCTCACCGAGCAATTGACGCACACGCCGCCGCCTCGGTATTTCCCACGGATATCCATGGACATTCTCCTCTCGGCCACTTCCTGGTTGTATATGCAGGACGTTGCATGGCCGTTGCAGTTGCACTTCTCGCAGTGAAAGCCCTTGCCAGCTGTGCCGGGCTTCCACGGGATCTGATTGTACATCGGGCAGCATTTTTCGCATCTTTCGCCGCACGTGTGGCGCTCGCATTCGCATTCCTGATGCTGAGGGATAAGAAATGCGCTTATCAGATGCCGCGAAATATCCGTGTTCTTAAGTTACGCTTATCTATTAAGTCATATGGCGAGAATACGCGCGATCGATTGCGGATACGTTGCAGATAGGCTGCGGAAGCGTTTGCGAGTTACGCTGCGATATCTCTGCGTAATTTTGCTCATTCTCGAACAACTGTTTGTGGAAGCTTGCTTATCGCAGTGTTGATTCGGGATTTACCATCGTACTGTTTCCTTGATTTGTCAAATTATAATAACGTTTATAATAGCTAGTCATCAAGAAGAATTAATAAAATTATTGCAGGCAATCTAATTACTGTTGAGAATTCTTATTAATCTAATTTTTATTAGCTGCATTAATTTTTTCCCTTCATCACTTGATATGTTTTTATGAGGCATGTAAGTCGTAAAACTATCGCTTTGGGGCACAAAATTAAATGATTGATTTGTTAATTAGTCATATAAATCAGCGTATTCAGTGATATATTACCAGCCATCCGGATGTTACCGCATTGCGGAGTCATAAAGACGGGATTTCATAGACACAATTGTCTATCCGGATGTGCAAATAATCGCATATGCATATAATCGCGGATAACTATATCGCCGGGTATAAAGTGAAGTTCGCATTGTACTAGACGTTATATATTCAATTTACGAGTTCCTCTTTGCCGTTCGAAAAGGATTCAGCGATTGTCATAAATATCGCGAAACTAGCGTCGTTTGCGACCCGCAAATCGCCCAATCACGATAGAAACGATTACAGTTCAAATATCTAAGTATGCTCGATCGTAAATTTTGAATTCTCGACAAGCAGAAACAACTACATTCTTTCCTCGTAATATCGAAAATGATGATACGTATATATAATTGCATCTAAGTATAATGAGATTAGAACAAAAACAACTACAAGAACTTTGTAATTAATTGCGATATCGTGAAACCTCACAATAATAAAATCAATTATCATCTCAGATAAATGACGGCTATTAATATCACCTCGCTTTCTCTGTCAGAGTTATTTTGATTCGACTCTGCAATTATCAAAGCGCACATTGAATTGGGCCGAAGAAATCGTGCGAGGAGTTAGCGACCGAAAATAAATTGCGGCGGGATTAATGAGCCCCGATTTCACCGAAATATCGCATCGCGCGCCCGACAAACGTGAACGAGCACGCGGAAGAGCGAAAAGGTTAACACGCCGCGTGTGGTCTTATCATTGGCGTGACAAACGAACGGGCTACTCTGGTCAATTGCAATATCTCCCCCGTTAACACATGCTTGGTATTATTTACTGCCGATGATAATGGCCATCCCCGTCTGCGATCGGCAATCAAGCCCCGGTTTCTGCAATTACTCACCGCCATCGCGGCGGCGTTTAACGAACCTGAATTACATTTCATCGAAAGCCATAATGTTCTGGAGCCCGTTATTCTCGAATCGAGATAGCCCAGCCTTCGAAAAATGAAAACCTGCGATTCAACGCGGTGCCTCAGAATGGTTGACCTTAATTTTTATGACCGATTCTTTGACTAATTCGTCGCTCCGAGCAATTTCTCTCTCTCTCTCTCTCTCTCTCTCTCTCTCTCTCTCTCTCTCTCTCTTATTAAAGAAAAGAAAAATATAGTAATTTCAGGATCGATAATTTTCGGGTTGTAGAGTGGAAATATAAATATTAAACTCACCAAAATTGATAACTTAAACATTGATTAATCGAGAATCGAGATATTTATGTATTTGTTTATGAATCATAAATTATATGTTGTATAAAAATTAGGTAACCGATTAAATCTTACATGGAAATTGCTTCTTTAACTCAATCGAATTCATCAAAGAAAATACATCTTGACAGTGGAAGAAAGATATTAATGATGTAATAATGTGAATGACTGCATAAAAGACTCATTTTTTTTTAATCAATACTTTTTTCCAGTAAACAAAATTTTTAATGGAACTGGCAGATTTATATAAATGAGCCACAAAATAATTTAAAATATCTAAAAGTTTCCACCAAAAAAACATAAAAATTTTCTACAAGAAAATAAGAATTAATATTTTTCTAATGTAAAAATGAAACATATATATTTCCTATTAAAATTTAATTCAAGAGATTTTTAAATAAAGTTAAAAAAGTGCCCATCAAATAATCCATTATTCGATCTTGCTTGATTAAAATTAGTTTTAAAAATTTGTTAATTAACGTTAATTGACTGAAATGCACTTGAATGATATGATAAGGCGACGAAAGAAATGTCAATTGCGAAAGTGACCGTAACATTGTTTGAATATGAAATTGATAGTGGCACAATAACTCCAGTGTTCTCGTCCACAGCGACAAACAGGCGAGAAATCAACGTCTCCTATACTCTCAATCATCTCGCGCGCGTCTCTTTTTTTTCTTTCTCGCTGTATCTGCCAATGCACTTTCCTCGGTACTCAGTAATGCCCACCTCGATTCGTAACAACGAACGCTGAATGAGCGTATACTCGACTCGTATCGGATAAATGAACGTATCGTGAAAATTGCGCGAGCAAAATACAACGGAAAGGTCAATGCCCACTCTACGGCGACGCAGTGATTCCGATGCGTCGAAACGTGGCGTTGCATCATGAATGACACAATGAATGCTCTATCGCATTACGCGTCCGCGATTTCGCGAAACGCTTGCCCAATTCCCGGAACGTTGAGCACATTGGCAACGATACAAAAGCAAGTCGTATAACGTTCAATGCAATATCGTTTGTCATATTTTGCACAGATTTCTAATAAATCAAATTTTTCATAGAAGCCAAAAAATTTTACACAAACTATCCACACACACCCTTATCTTCCTATCATTTATTCTAATTTTAATTAAAGACTACTTAAATAACGTTCTCTAATAATAAAAAAATTTAATTTTTCTAAATTTATAATACTATTGCAAAAAAAGATTATATTTAACAAATAACTTGAATAATAAAATTAATTTCTTGTGTAAAACTTCATTTCTTTAAATAGAAATATCTTTTAATCAGTTGGCTCACAAGTAATATATCTTGATAACAATTCGATAGCGAAACGTGAGAAAGTGGATGTTGCTTTAGGAGCGCCGTCTAGAGAAATTTTGAACTTCGTCTACACAGAATAAGGCAATCGTAAAATCGTGAGGAAAGATCTCGCAATTCCAAGCGACAGCGTTGTTAGGAGACATGGTAAACTATTATTGTCTGTTGAAGTCGGCTGCATGAAGCACTCGGCAAATGCCCGTTCTCGGATTATAACATACAACAAGATTCGTGTTTCTGCAGCTGCGAGAAAGAGAGAGAGAGAGACAGAGACAGAGAGACATAGAGAGAATAGACCTCAGCTTCGCGAGGAAATATGCCACGGACGAGAGTAATTAATCACTAGCGACTATTGTCTTCCCGCTTGCGTATTGTGCCGCTTGAGAAACTGCAGCATCGTGTACGCAATTAAACGTGATTCATCCCCTGGGATAGAACACAACGTTTGCATTTTCATTCCGTCTCATGACTGCTGTAAATTTACTCCACGTTACTTGCTCGCTATTGACCCGCATTCTCTTTCGCGCTAAATGTAGTATATTCTCGTTTTACGTTCGCATCAACTGCGTTTATGGTTCTAAAACGCTATAATTTATCTGTATAAAAATAACATTAATTAAATATACATATTAGAAAATTTGTAACAAAATATTTGAAATAAATTATGCTGCCCAAGTTACTTGGTTTTAACGAATAGATAGAATTCTGAAAAAAATAGTAATAACCTCTATTAAGATGAATCTCTCACTATCGTAAATTAAGTTCGGACCTAGCCTAAAATTTAATCCTATTATATATATATATTTTTGCTAATTAATTACCTAATAAATAGGAGGTAATTCCTAGACAAGTCGCATTCGACTGTGCTGAAGTGACTGTAAAAAGCTTTAACCTTCAAAGCTAGAGCAACCATTGTCTTTTCCGAAACGGCTGGAGGAAACAAAATTTCGCAGCCTTTTCAGCAATATCGAATGAGATTTGTAGAAATTACCTTCTGTTAGTCGCCAATTAATCGCGTAAATCCCGATTTTTCACGGTGCCGTGTGTTTCGAAAAAAAACATTTTTACGTTATTTTCCGTTAAAGGGCTGAAGCAACAAATTATAAACAAAATAGCACTGAATTTTTTACTAGGTCCGAACTTTATTTGTGATGGGGTCCAGCTTAATAGGGGTATAGTATTACCAATAAAACTGCAATAGCGAGATTGAATATAAATATTAATTTTAATGATGTATAACCCATAAATAATCTATAAGTAACCTGTAAAACAATCAAGTAGTAAGTGGAAAGAAATGGATCATCCTTTGTTACGTGAATGAACCATTCTCACGGTTCTAATCATGATTCATCGTTCCACCTTCAATCCCGAGATTCCCGCAACTTCCCAACACGTACCTTAGAGAAACCGCAACATTGATAGTGGCTAAAAAAAACTAATGGCGCCTTCGAAAGCACCCGCTCTGCGCGGATCGCGGCGGGACCTTAATTCCTAGCGGTTTCTGCGGGCTTTGTAGCAGGCAACGATTCGAGAAGGAGGGACCTCGCCATTAGCGGCGTCGGCGGACAAAGACCTGACAAGTTTATGGCACTTCCGATGGATTTATTTTCGAAGCAGCTGAATCCGAGTGTCCTCTTTCGAGAGCGCGACCAATTTCAGCGCCACGGAAATTGTAGCATTATATATTTTCCACGAATTTTCACGAGACAAATTCCGCATTTTGAAATCAAGTACGCGAAAAAACTATATGAAGTGTTTTGACGAAAGAACAACGTTAGAGACGTGTTAGAAAATTTTTTATATTAATGTAGCTATTCAATTATGTTTCAATATAAATTAATTGAATAATAAGATACACCTATTTTTAAAACGCGCATAAGTTTAAAAATATATACGCGCTATCATCGATAATGTATATACGTTACAATATTTATTATTCCATAACTATGTTGCCGGAACAATTTACTTACCCCGTGTTGAACGCTGTACCGACATCGGGCTGCATGTCCGGAGCACAGGCAACGTCCTCCGATATTGATTTCCTTTATTGAATAGAAGGCACGTCTCTTGTCGGCGAAAGGCTCGCCGTTACGTCGGAGACCCTGAAGACGGAGCCGCACAAATCTGGCCTGGGTGAATTTCTGCAGAGTCGCGCTGTGGTTCAGAGCCCCGGGTCGACCGTTCACCAAGTGAGTGTGGACCTTTCAAGTAAACAAATAAAATTCTTATTAATCTCTCCCACCGAGTAAATTATAACATATTATCATATATGTACAACTGATTGCAATAATAAAAAAAATATACAGTTCAAGAAAATATATTAATTTACAATTTGTATTGGAAAAATGCGGTCCTAAATATTTCTAGTACAAGAAAATATAATTTTATTGCAAATAGTATTAGAAAACTTTAATAAGAAAAATAATATTTAATTTAAGTGTAAAATAATTGTTTAATTGATTTCAACAGCGAGAATGAAGGAATGCAAATAAAATCAGATGTAGACAGATGCAATGTCTGTACTCCTATGAACTGTCGATCAGCGATGGTCAATTAGCGTCGGCGGCCGAAGCTATTAAATTCCAGAGACATGGGCAAAGAAGTAAATCATCCGCGAATGGCGCCGCGTGCTAAGAACGGAACGGCGAGTTCCATAAATGGAGGGCACGCGGTACCTAATAAGGAACAATCGCTTATATTTAGGATACCTCGCGATCTTTCTCTGATTGCTGAACTTTGTAATTCTTTGCACGTGCTTTCAATAAATCAACAAAGTTATCTATGTACGTATCGCGCGATCATTTGCAGCACTTGTGCATAATAACCTAACGTGCTTCCACTCTCTTTCACTTTCATCCCTCGTTTCTTATCTTTTTCTATTTTTACGATCACGAGATTCTGCTTCTTGCAGGAAAGCTGCAATACCGCACAAGTGTCTGATTCGCGGTATTTCCAAAGTAATATTTACTTAGTGGAAAAATCATCGAAGGGGGTTAAACGACGAGCAGATAACCGGCTGATGTCACCTGGCCTCGAATTCTCGGTAGCTCGGCGGATAATTAAAGTTCGTGCCTCGGCTGCACGAGTGTACGCGCGATCGGTTTCGTGCGAGCGGAATCGCGATGAGGGAAGAAATGAAAGAGAGAGAGAGAAAACATGGAGAGAGAATCGATAATACAAAAACGACGATCCCTACATTCTGACCATGTACGGCGCTACCTGGCCGTATAAGGGAGTATCGCGTACGCACCTTCCATAGGGAGAGGAGAAGCTTGGCAGTTTTACGCTTCTACACGCGAGCCAGACACGCGGGGAAGAGGAAAGAATAAGCGCCCCTCCCCCCCC